GAGGGAGACGCAGATGCTGGGAGGGCCAAGGTCAGGGTGCTGCAGACTGGAGAGATCCTTACTGTCGATGAAGATGATTTGGAGAAGGTAAGATTATGTGACTGGTTTAACTCTTTGAGTACCGTCATTATAGACAATTAACTCGTCGAGTACCGGTTTTATAGACACAATTAAAGAACAATGGGTCGCGGTCACCGGTGACCGCTTGGTGTTTGACATTTTAAAGAACAATAGGTTGCGGTCACCGGTGTCCTCGCGGTGTTTGACAGTTTACAACTAATTAGGAAATTGTCGGTGATACTGAATCAAGATAGCTTTGTGAAGTAGATGGAGACAGAGTAATCACTGAATAGACTGACCCAAATGGTCCATCCTAAGACTGACTGGAAAAGAACAAGGAGTAAATGAAAACATTTAAGAATACCTATTGTAAGATGTTTGCCTTGGTACATTTATCTACTGGAGAATCTTCAAAATTTGCCTAAATAAACAGAACCTTAGTCCTTCGTCAGTTAAAATAACACAATAAATTAAATGCATACTATTCTTCATTTTAACACCATCTTTCCAGGCCAATCCTCCCCAACTAGAACGATGCGAAGACATAGCGTCTCTCCGCTGCCTCAACGAGTGTGGTGCACTGAACGTCCTCCGTTCACGATATGCAGCTGGTCTGCCACACGCCCGCGCTGGTCATGCACTCCTGGTACTTGGGCCGCCAAAGCGTACCGCTCCAATCTACACTGAAAAGGTAAAAAAAGACCTTTAAATTACTGGTTTATATTGTTTGTTTTACTAAGGCTTTTTGTGTGGTGCAACTTTAACAGTTACAGCAAAATGTGTTGCACCAGCGAATTCATTAGCTTTGTTAAAGTTAAAAGTATTGTAAGTCAAATGAGGTGTAGTTTACCCCAAATTTGGTGTGGTGGTAACATTTTTAATATTTCCATGTTTCGAATTTTGATTGTTATTGTTAAAGTAAGTTGGTGAATGGCCAGATTCAACTGCAGAAGAACCTTATAAAGGAAAAACCATTATGCTTTCTCCTTTCTTTTTCAACTTAACCAATTAGAAGCATAGAAGACAATGAAGGTCTCAGGGCATTAAACAAACCCTTGAATTACAACACACACAACCAAACTATTTCATTGGAAAGCAACAACACTAAGTGGATCTAAATCTAATAACCTTTTTGACTTAAAGAATAATACGTCACCAATTCCATCAGCCTCGAATTATTTTGGCCTATATTTGCAATCTGCCACCCAAGAGTTAGATTGAGCTCTCGACCATTACTCTTTTTCATCACTTATTCCAGATTATCTTGGAAAAAAATCGATACCTTTATTTTTCCTTCTTAGATTTCATTCAATTTTTATCCACTCATTCATGATACCGTTGGTTTCCAGGTGGCGGCGATGTTCCGTGGCTGCCGAGCTGATGACATGCCGCCCCACGTGTTCGCGGCTGCGCAGTCCACGCACCGCTGTATGCTGGCCTCTCGCAGAGACAGAGCTATCGTGTTCCTTGGAAGGTTGGTATTAAACTTAGAACTAAGTCGGACTGTGATTGTAAATATGATTGTTGAGAAAATGCGCCTCAATCGCGCAGTCGCGGGGTCGGCGCTGCGATAAGTTTATTCGAATGCCTGCGCTGAACATCGCGATCCCCGACGCCCAGAGTGTCTCTCGCGACGGCTGGGGCGTGAGGAGATTCGTTCCCTCACGCGCCCCTCTTCCTCTTTAGCTAGCATGACTGCTTCGCTGAAGGAGGAGACAGCATCCCAATTCCCCTCGCTCCGTACCATAGTTTGAATCGTGTGTCCATCCATCGTGCCCTCCGCTCTAAGTCCTAGGAGTAACCTGGATTTTTCGCTATTTTCCTTTTGATATACCTAGTTGGTGAAAATGTGAAACGGCTAAGCAGTAAAGGATTCACTTTTAACTGGTCAACAACAGGCTCTCTCTTATATTAACTTTCCTGATATCTACTAAAGTGTGGCTATTTAGAATTATATAAACAGTGGAACGATCTGTCGTCGGCGGTATTTCCGAACCGATACGACCTTCACACATTTAAGAAAAGAGCGTATTCTTTTTTAAAAGGCCGGCAACGCGCCTGTGACTCCTCTGGTGTTGCGGGTGTCCATGGGCGGCGCTGATCGCTTACCATCAAGTGTTCAGTATGCTCGTTGGCCTCCTATCCCATAAAAATAGTTATAATAAACAGACGCACTTCAGTTTAACTTTTCATACTTTTAGTTTGTATGGCTATCTTGTCTTAATTTGATTATTGACAAGGACAGCGATTTATTGAATTAGTTTGTTTCTCTCTTTGATGTTGTATTTTAGTAACAGTGAGAATATACTATGTAGTGTCTTAAAGTGCAGCGTGTGAGACAAAATAATGTTAATAGTGATAATTGGATACTTGCCAACTAGTCAAATTCAATACTTTTTTCGAACTGTCAAAAACGACAATTTTCTATGTATTTTGTACGAGATTTTGTATTGTGACGTCATGTTTTTTAGCGTCAAACATAATACTTATTTCTTAAAAAATATGGTCATAAAATCGATTAATCAAAGTGTGATTATTATTTACTATTTTACTGTATTGAATAGGTCAAATAATTTATTTTAGACTAAGAAAAGTACCCAATTATTGTTAAATATGATAAGAGACTTTTTACTTAAGTTATTTAACCCAATTTAACATGGGACTTATAACATAATTGGTGTAAAAGTGAGTGTTTCATTTTATATTTTGTGTGTGTGGAAAATGTGTAGGTACGTTGTGTTTAAGGGATTTTTTTAGGGGAGCAAATCAGCGTCTGTGGCATTAAAGGGACAAAATGTATTTTTTTAAAACGTTGCCCTCACACTAAGATTGTCTCCTGTGTCGTGGGTGCGTTTACAAACATACAAGTTCACATACACATCACACACAGACACCCGGAATAATCATTTGTGGATCACACAAAGAAAAGATTTCCGTGCGGCAAATGAACCTGCTGTATATTGAAATTTTATGTTTACGATTGAAGCGGTGGTTGAAAAATTAATAATAATTTTATAGGTACTTTGTACAGGACTTAAGATATTAAAGTCCTACAAAAGTTCAACTTATGCAATATATTTTGAAATAACATTTATTGAACACGATGCAATATTAATTTTGATTAAAATCACTTTAATCACTATAAAAACACGTTTAAAATTGAAAAATAAATAATAAACGCGATACGGAGATAGGCAAAGGGTAATAAAAATTACCCGTTTTCTATTGCCATACATAATATTATTTCTATCGCCATTAGCATACGTAATACGGACGCTGAAGGTCGAATAGTGCCGCTTAGTAATTGGATTATACTTTATAGGCGAATTAATTATCTTATTAATTGCTTGTCAACCTGTTTTAGAGTTTATTATGTATGGTATAAGGTTTTTTTTAGTTGATACCGTTTTTATTAGCTACTTCTAGATTTTATTAGCGGCTTTTGTTACGTTGCTGGGATAAAAATTAACTTATGTGTGCCGAGTGGTCGTAAGTACGACTACCGAGCAAGGGGTCTCGGGTTCGATTCCCGGGTCGGGCAAGGTATTACTGGGTTTTTGAAAAACATCTCAGTAGTAGCACGGAGTCTGGAATCGTGCCCGGAATATGGCAATAGGCTCATCCCCTATTACATGGGACTAATTACATAAATAGTGAAAAGTGGGTGTTACATTGTACAGTGGCATTATGTGACTTAATGTGCAAATCTGCCTAAAACATAAAAGGTTAACATAATATCACGCCTTTTATCCCCGAAGGGGTGGGCAGAGGTGCACAGTATGCCACTGTACAATGTAACACCTCTTCTCATGACGTTTAACACATAATATACATGGAAGTATAAAAAAATTCTTTTTACAAACCCGGATGTCAAACACGTCCAAACAATAAAAAAAAATTGTGAGAATTGAATTCGATTTAGGTATGAATAAAAATTAAAAATGTAAATAGTATTTATTACGTCAGAATGGTATTTATCGTGTTTATTTTTGTCCTGACATTAAGTGCATTGCGGATGTAAACTGGATGGGTATAAATATAGAAAAATAATTCTTTAGCTTCATCTATTAATTATTTTAATAGCATTCAGGTATGGTATAATAAGTAAAATGGATTAATGTTCTTGTATATTATTGTATATCTTTAAATCAAGAAGAAAATTAAAATCAAATGCATCCATTCCAATATAGGATGTAAGGTAATAAGATAATGACAATAGTTTCGGTAATATTTAGAACTATCGGTTTAGGAATAGGACAAAACCAGTGGTGTGTCGAGTTTGAGGTGGATTTTAAAAAGTGTAACCACCATTTCTGAAATCCATATCAAAATTGGTTCAGTCAATCGCGAGATTATGACGCACATACATACATACATACAGGTGACACTCAGAACCTATATTTTTTTGAAGTCGGTTAAAACACTTTATTTATTTTTACTCACGCGAATGTACCGAAAAAAGCTCTACTAGTTTCGAATCATAGAGGGGTTCTTCCTCATGAACACCGTGCGCAGTCGCGGCGATGTCGCGCAGCCTACTCTACGGTTCGTAACTAGTAGAGCTTTTCTTAGTATATTCACGTGAGTATCCCGCGATTTTTAGTTAATTTAGTTAGTTTGTTATTATGCCTTAACCGTTTGAGTAGTCGCGGAGAATCTAACGGGTAACCGGGGCTCCGGCTCGACGTGCAGGAGAAGGAACGGGGTGGTTTTTAGTCAGTAAGGGTCTGACACTTCCTCCCGCCTCACCCAGGAGGAAGCAGTCATTCGATGATTTTTCCCAATTAAAAAACCCTTTGAGTACCGTCATTATAGACACAATTAAAGAACAATAGGTGTGCGGACACCGGTATCCTCGCGGTGTTTGACAGTTTAATATTCTTAAATAATGTAAATATTCCTTCTTCCCCCACAGGTCTGGATCTGGTAAAACATCAGCGATGCGTCACTGCGTGTGGTACTTAGCTAGTGCTTACCCGGCACAAGGGTCGAAGCTCACACCCGAGAGATTGGATGCTGCGTTTGATGTACTACACTTGTTTGGATCTACTAGGTAAGAATTGTTTGTATATTTCCATTTTTTTTTTGCGTAATGCAATACGTAAGTAATTTCGTAATAATGTGCATAAAAACGCGTGCGTACGCATAAACACACGCACGCGTACGCACACGGATAAAAATATGCGTGCGCATGTGTTTATAAGCGCTGCAGCGCAACCGATAGTAGTCTTACGGTGGCAGTGGACTTTTGACCTTTGACCGTACATCAACAGGCCCTGTCAGTTTTTCTGGTCTTCTCTACATTTGAGGGTTTGATCGCAGCTTAAACTGTTCATTATCAGAGAGCTACTCAGTCTGTTTTAAATGTGTAATACGTTGATATATCGCACTGAAAATCCCCAAAATATATATCTATAATGGTGTTAGTGGAGAGCGGTCATCGGTGACCGCTTCGAATTGAACAGTTAAGCCGGTTTTAGATGCCCACAAGAAGATTAGGGATGGTGATAAATGTGTTCTACCATACATTTACCAAGCGAATACATAATATCATATTTCGGTTTACCACATCCACGGTAAAAGTAGCTGTGGTAACTTAAATTCAAGTCTACCATCATATTTCTTAATGTTAAACGTTTGTTTCCAGAACGGGCTCCAACCCTCACGCATCACGCTTCGTGTCCCTGACCTCGTTGGACTTCGACGGCGGCGGTGCTCTGGCTGCAGCGTCAGTACAGATCCTTCTGCCCGACCTCAAGCCTGGCCAGGCACCGCTAAGGGCACTGCATACGTGAGTATTGTACTATATTGTAGTTTTATTGCTGTGTGGCATAAGGGTGATTTTTGAGTGTTGAGTTGTTTTTTATGGAATAAGCCGGTGTACAAGCAGACGGATCACCTGATGGTAAGCAATCGGCGTCGCCCATGGACATCTGGAACACCAGAGGTGTTACAAGAGCGTTACCGGCCATATGGGGATTAGGAATTGAAGGATTGTTGAGGATTCAGGAACATGAAGAGTTTGGGGAAGAGGGGAGGGGGGTGGTAATTGGCCTCCAGATGTATGAAAAAGGTTGTTGACTTTTAAATAAAATGTTTACATTCGCTTCGGCATCGATTCGAATGGTCGCAAGTACTATCGAGCAAGGGGTCAGACATATTGATATATTTTTTTATTTTGAACTATTTCTCGGTAAAGTTCAATAGCTCGGTGCCTGTAGGGATATGTGCCTGTTGTATGACAATCGGCACACTCTATCATATCTTAAGTAGTATAGTCAGTCGGTGTTATAATGTGCCATACTGTACATTTATACATCCCAATGATCTTTATACAAAAAGTGAGAGGTACAAAAAATATTATTTATTTATTTTTTAAAACATTGCCCCACACTAGGATTTCCTCCTGTGTAGTGGGTGCGTTTACAAACATACAAGTTCACATACACATGACACCCAGACCCGGAACAACAATCTGTGGATCACACAAAGAGATGTTCCGTGCGGGAATCGAACCCGCGACACATTGCGCGGCAGCCAATGGCCCAGCCACCGCGCCAACAGTGCAGTCAAAAATGCTCACCACATTACAAAAACGAGGACCCAAACAAAGTAATAAAACAAAAAAAAAAAACAAAATTATAATATTAATCATATTCCCTTCCAGCCTCTACCACGGTTGCGACGGTCGTCTTCGCCGCGAGCTTCTCTTCGACCAGGCTCCCATCACCACTCCGAACCCCTTCATGAGCTCCACAGAGAAGGCGGACGCTCCCACTGAGTTCTCAGCGCTGAAGGAAGCGCTGCAGCTGCTGGCTGTCACTGAGAACGAGCAGATGGCCATCTGGAAGATCATGGCTGCTATATGCCATTTGGGATGGGCGGGCGCTGTTAAGGGTGAGTTGTTGTTAAGATGATGGCAAAATAGTTCTACTGTTATTCTTGTTTTGGTTGAGTAATTCATAAATCTAAGTGAGTTTTTGCTACAAATACTAGTTTAACTTATAACATCAACAGCCTATAAGTGACCACTGCCGACCAAAGGCCTCTTCTCACACGGAGAAGGTTTGTGCATTAATCACCACGCTTGCTCAATGGGGTTAGCGATTTCAAACTTATAATTAGAAATTATAAGCCCAGGTTTGCTCACGATGTTTTCCTTCACCGTTTGTCAGTGGTGTCTGAATAATCTTGAAAGTACATATAACTCGGACAAAGTTACATTGGTACTTGCCGTTGGTAGGTTTCAAAGTCAAAATCAACGCATTTATTTCAATTAAACCATGATTTGGTACTTTTGAAACGTCAATAAATACAAAATAAATAATAGTCTGTCAGTCAGTCCGTCAGTGAAGCTAGGTGAAGCTAGTAGGCTTTCGAACCCGCACTTATGCATGAGAAGAGGGCGTCATAAATCTCCGGGCCACCACGACTTACCAGGGTGTATCCTAAGTTATGTCAAATTATCTCTTAAATTATTTAGACTAATGTAGTTTGCGAGTGCGTGACGCTCAGTGCGTCGGTAATCGCGAATGCCAGACGTGATTATGGGCCCCTGGCGTGGCCTGTAATTAGTCGAGTGACCTAATGAATTTGTGTCATGATTGTTACAATATAAGAAGGGTTTCTCTTATCATATTAATATGGTATAATTTAGAAATTCCTTTGTGTCTAATGATACAAATAATAACTTTCAATTGGACTAAAAAACTCAATTCTTTGCATCGGAATTTAAAATATGTTTTAACTATCAATATTATCTTTTTATTCCCAGCTAACACCGGCTCAGGTCTCAAATATCAGTTCGCGAGCACGGGTTGCGGACAGCGCGCCGCCAGACTACTGGGGGTCGGTACTGAGGAGCTGGCCAGGGCTGTGTTTGTCACAGTACCTACATCGCCACAGACTAACTCCAATCTAAGGTACTGTTTTTAGTTAAATTTTACTAATTTGTCTTTAAATAACCTGATACAAACATATAACTTCGTCTCTCTCCTCTTAAAATGGTTTAATTTGAAAAGAAACTTCAAAAAAGACTTGCGCTTAACGCACTATTAAAATTATATTTCCATACAATAAGCTGTGAATTTTTTTTTTAAATATGTCGGTTTACATTGATATATGATTTGAATAGGGTAGATGACTAATTTTATTTTAACGGGTAGATTTACCAGACTGACATTAAAATAAAATAATCATTTAAAAACATTACACACGTATTTTTTATTTTCTTACGCAAACGAATAGTTTCGACGATATATTAATTTGAAATATCGCATGACGACACTTTTGAGTACGATTTATACTCTAAAATGACGTAGCTACCTCCCACTCCTAAACTTTGATTCGTTTTGTCAAAGTATTATTTCATTATACGACAAAATAAAAATATACGTGTCTAATATTTTTTCATTACCTAACTGGCGGATTAATTAGATTTTTAATTTTCATACCCTGTCATCATCCCTATTGCCTTAGCCTACCTATGTGATATATAATATACCTAGATTTATATCTTCCATATTGTTTTGTAGATTTTAACACTTTATATATAATTTTAATATTTTTCCTTTAAAATAAATAAAATATTGTAACATTTCAGAACTCCATCACCGTCGAACGAGCGTGAGATGTCTGGCACGGAGGCTGTGGACGCGTTCGTCACTGGCTTATATAATGAGACCTTCAATATAGTAGCTGCTTTAGTTAACAGGCAAGTGTATTTACAGAGTTATATTCTTTCTTTTATACATTGCTTGATTGACTGCCTCGTTGGCCGAGTGGTCGTGAGTGCGACTGCCGGGCAAGGGATCTCGGGTTCGATTCCCGGGTCGGGCAAAATATTACTGGGTTTTTTTATAAATTCTCAGTAGTAACACGGAGTCTGGAATTGTGCCCGGTATATGGCAATAGGCTCACCCCCTAGTACATGGGAAATAAATAGTGAAAAGTGTGTGTTACATTGTACAGTGGTACATACAACTCGAAAAGAGTCACATTAGTACTTGCTGCTCGTAATGTATGAGAAGCGGGCGTCTGAAGCCTCAGAGCCACCACGACCTTTTATATGGCATATCTTTATAGTTATTTTGTAACAGTCGTCCTAAGTCTTACCCTTTAGTTTAGCCACAGAGAACGTAAAAGATTGCCGAGGCTCCGGCTCGAAGTGCAGGAGTAGGAACGGGGTGGTTTTTAGTCAGTAAGAGTCTGACACTCTCTTCCGCCTCACCCAGGCGGGAGCGGTCATTCGATGATTTTCCCCCCTTAAAAAAGTCATTAACAAGTTAAACAAAAAGTTATGGTTACAGTTATTTAAACTAAAACATTTTGTATATTAATTAAATCTATATATTTAAATCTAAATTATATTTTTATTTATTTGTCTATATTTTATTTACAACAAATTAATAAACGTGAAATCTAGTGCCACCGTACCATTCTTATGTCAATGGACTCTAAGTAACCTTTTATGTTTCATATGTATTGTTTCATTATAACCAGTAAATAACAAAACTTTATATATATCCCCAGGAGCCTGTCGACGTCGGCCCGCACGGCGGCGTCCATCCTGCTGCTGGACTCGCCGGGCGCCGACAACCCCATGTGTGCCGGCCAGCAGAGCGGGGCGCCGCTGTCTAAGCTACTGTCTAACTACTTGCAGGTATGTGTTACACTTATATTTGTTTAAAACATAAACAACGTAACAGTTACTCAGTGCAATCGCCCATTAGCGATGGGCGTTGTATCAACGTTGATGTCTCTTCAATGGAATTAACGTTGACCGTGTACAAATCAACTCATTGAATTCGTCAACAAGACGAAACGTTTATAATATCAACTCGTTTCACCGTTTGACAAATTCTATGAGTTGATTTGGACAAGGTCGACGTTTTGTTACTTTTAACTATATCTTAAAGTGATCATATTGCATTACTAATACTTAACCCTTTGAGTACGATCTCCGGCCACCGTAAGCGCGGGCCTGCGGACGGCGAGCATGGGTGGCTCCCCGTCCGACCAGAAACAGACCCGAGCGTACGGCGCGTCGCGTTCCGCGCGCGCCTCAAAGATCCATCAGACCACCACAGATGGGGCCCAATAGGGCCGATGCCGATTCGGAGTCGCGGAGAACCCAACGGGTAACCGGGGCTCCGGCTCGACGTGCAGGAGAAGGAACGGGGTGTTTTTTAGTCAGTAAGAGTCTGACAATCCCTTCCGCCTCACCCAGGCGGGAGCAGTCATTCGATGATTTTTCCCCCTTAAAAACCCTTCGGATAGGTTATGTTCATCTACTTAATTTCCTCTATTATTAGTACTTGTAGATGGGGCATTGGGCGTCAATTGAAATCATACACACATTGCTTCTTGCTCATAATTTTTTTTATATTTGCAGGAACGTTTGCAAGCGATGTTCCACGAGGCTCTGCTCGTGGCTCCGCGCGAGAGATACTCCCAGGAAGGAATCACACTTGATGATGGAACTGAAGAAGGTACTTGTTTGAGTTAACACCGAACTCATATTTGTTAAAAAAATCACATTCATTCCCATTTACAAAACTTAAGTATCGAGGTGCATACTCTAATAACTGGTTTTTGACACTGTATTTATTCAAATTAACTTAAAATCGCGGGTTACTGACGTGAATATACTGAGAAAAGCTCTACTAGTTTCGAACCACAGAGGGATTCTTCCTCATGAGCAGCGTGCGCGATCGCGGCGATGTCGCGCAGCCTATTTTTTTAGTTTTTTTTTTTTATTTATTTATTTATCGTATTTACAATAAGTAAATACGATTATCCATTTAAAATAGCAACCAAAATCCACTAAGGTTTAAACTTGTGCTATCATAAATCAATCTCGAAATCGAATTTTTATAAAATGAGGTTTTACAAATATATAAGTTAATTTAATATGTCTCACGATATTATTTAATTTGAAGATTATTATAAAAACTGTATTAATCAATTGGTCATCTCTATTAGATTTGCCTTCTAATAACTAAGTCCTAATAACGTCAGTTTTGTTCAAAACAAATTACTTATTACATCTTTACATTTCAGACTGGCTGTCAGAGACAGTGAACCCCGGTCCGATGGTGGAGTTGCTGGACAAAGCGCCACAGAACACTATAGTACGCAGCTCACAGGCTGACCTGCGGGAGTGTGACCGCAGAGGATTGTTGTGGTGAGTAGTTTGACCTATACATTCCTTCATAAACCCATATTTTATGTGTTTAACTTCCAAATCCATGATTACGAAATATCTACGACATTGCTTCATACAAAAGTAGTCTCTAAAAATTAGAAATAAGGTCTATAATGGGGACCGCTTGGGGACTCGGGAATTGCATTATTTCTATGCATACAAATAGGTTATATATGTGTTGTACCTGTTTATTAAATGTATTGTGATTACTCTTTTTGCTTCCTCAAAAGTACCAATTAGTTCAGGAACTAATAAATAATAATATTAACGAAGCTAATCAGTAGTATTTTTCCTTTGTTTGATGTGAATTTTGAAAAACTGCCCGCAATTCTAAAACAGTGAAACTATGAAATAAACAGAATCATTTTTTAATGCTGACAAAAAATAATAACTAATCTATAATTAAATAATTTGCGCAGGCTTCTAGACGAAGAATCAATGTACCCTGGGTCGTCCGACGACACGTTCCTGGAGCGCGTGATGACCCACTACGGCGCGCCCAACCACACGCACTACCTCATCAAGAAGGCGCCGCATGCCAGGCAGTTCGTGTTGCAGCATTTACAGGTTGGTAATGTATTTCAAACCTTATTGCTTTTATGTTAGAGATTAAAGTGTATTGCAGAAGGGTACGTTTTTCGAACTGTCAAAAACGACAGTTTTCTGTGACTTTTGTACAAGATAGTGTATTGTGACGTCACGTTTTTTTAGCGACAGCATACTTTTATCATTTCAATTTGCTGGTAAAATACTAAAATTAAGTTGGTCATAAAATCAATTAATGAAAGTGTGGTAATTTTTAATATTTTACTGAATTGAAAAGTCGAAATTATTTATTTTTAATTAAGTAAAGTACCCGATTTCTATAACGAGGAAAAGTTAGTTGATAAGCGTCGTTCAAAGAAGAAAATTAACCATAGAGTATGCATTCAAACAAACATAGATTCTGTTACTTTTGCAATAAAGTTCAATTCATAATAACAAGTACTAGGTACTAAAAATCATTGATTAGCTGACTTAGTTTTAAAGAATACTCAACTGTATATTCAGGTAATAAGATTCATATTCTATTTCCAGGGAACAAACCCAGTTCTATACGATGTCACTGGCTGGGTGAAGGCAAGTCGAGAGAACCCAGTTACAAAGAAAGCTTTGACCCTACTGCAAGAGAGTCAGAAGTAAGTATTTAGAGATTAAAATATATGTGAACTTCGACTAATACAATAACATAAAATTCAAAATTCAAAAATTCGAAACTAATCCTTACTAATATTATAAATCGGAAAGTGAGTTTGTTTGTTTGTTCCACCTTCACGCCGTAAGTACTCAACCGATTGCTTTGAATTTTTGCGGACGTACAGTTAGAAGACTGGATTAAATAATAGGGGGTACTTACTTTTTATCCCGTAAAAATTTGATATTTCCGAGGGAAAACAAATATATTGGTATAGATGGCGCTGTGTGTATTGGTATAGATTGCGCTGTATGTCATTTAAAACCAGTCAACGAATTACCTACTTATTGGAAAAATCTAAATAGCGCGATATAACGCGAGCGGAAAGCTATTTATTTATGTATTTGCCTGTCTTAAACGGCAGAACGGAGGTACTAATTAACGTGATTTTTTAACTGAAGGTAGTTGAACGGATGGATAGTCACATAGGCTACTTTTTATCCTTTTGTGACGCGAGCGAAGCCGCGGGTAAAAGCTAGTTAAATATAACTCGACTTATAAATTCGAGACCCTGTTAAGGACACCAGTCGATAAAATAACTAGAATTTAAACGTTGTCTCACTTTTTGGGCTTTATAAACTAAATTGCCTGCCTGACTGCCTCGTTGACCGAGCGGTCGTTAATGCGACTGCCGGGAAAGAGGTCTCGAGTTCGATTCCTGGGTAGGGCAAAGTATTACTAGGTTTTTAAAAATTCTCAGTAGTAGCACGGAGGCTGGAATCGTGCCCGGTATATGGCAATAGTCTCACCCCCTATTACACGGCACTCATAACATAAATAGTGAAAAGTGGGTGTTACATTGTATATTGGCATTAAGTGCCAATATACAATGAATACCCCTTCGGAGATAAAAAGGCGTGATGTTATGTTATAAATCAAATTAAAGACAATTTGAAGAAAAATCTTTAATTTCTCTTTTCGCTTTTATATATGTAGTTTGCTGTATTTTGCTCGTCAATAGCTAAAGGCACAATTTCCGAAGTAGTAATACCTAATGTTTGTGTATATTATAACTTTATAACTTATGTGAGTCACAAATAATTATGTTTTCGGCTTACTCACGTAATAATTTGACGAGGAACTCAACTAGTTTCAAGCCATGCTAGAGGCTCATATTCATGAGCATCATTCCGCGACCCGCGACGCGGCGACTGTCGCGAGACATACTTAATTTTTAATTATGTGAGACATACTTAATTATTATGTTATTCCAGCGAGGACATAGGCCGGCTGTCGTCGTGGTCGCGCGGCGCGTGCGGCGTGGGCGCCTGGTCGGCGGCCGCCGCGGACGCGGGCACGCTGCGCCGCGCCAGCTCCATACGGAGGACGCTCACTTCCGGTACGTATTGTATATATAAGGTATTTTACAGTTTTGGAAAACACTTTTAAAATTCAACATAGTAAGTTAATACTGCCATACAATTTGAGATGATGACAGGGTATGAAAATTAAAAATCTAATTAGTTCGTAAGTAATGAAAAAATGTTAGTCACGCATTTTTTATTATGTCGTTTTTATTTTGTATTATGTAAAACAATACTTAGATAAAACGAATCATAGTTTAGGAGTGGGGGCTAAAACGTCATTTCTATGTATAAAAACGTCATTCTTATGTGTAATGTACATAGAAGTGACGTCACGTGACATTTCAAATCATTACTTCGAAAGAATTCGTGTCTGTAAAAAACACGTGTCTAATCTTTTAAAATAATCTACCAGACGGATATTAAAATAAAAATTAGGCATCTACCCTATTGTTTATACATTTGCCTTACAATTCACAAATGAAAGATACTGAAACACAAATTTGTCCAATATACCTCAAAGTAAAATTATCAGTAGTATCAAAAAACCATGAACATCTTTATATATATAATTCTTCTGTGAGTGTGTATGTCACTGAACTTCTCTCAAACGACTGGACCGATTTTGATGAAATTTTTTATGTGTTCAAGGGGATCTGGAAATGGTTTAGATTCACAAATCAGCCCGGCAGATGGCGCTGCAGTCGATGTTTAGGTTAATTATCCTAAACAGCTGAACTATTTTGAATGAATTTTTTTTTTACATTCAAGTGGATATGCAGAACAACGTCTGTTGGGTCCGCTAGTAATAAAATAAACCTGTTAATAATATTCCCCCAGGCACAGCGGGCATGAAGCGTCGTTCGACAGCGTTGCAAGCGAAGTTCGTGGCGGACGGCATCGTGGACACGCTGCGGCGCTGCGGCGCGGGCGGACTCAGCTTCGTGTGCTGTCTGCTCGCGCACCACCACGACCTGCACCACGACCTCAACGTCACACTGCTGCGCTCGCAGGTATGGGGGTACTTATGGATATGACACATGACGTCACGCTTTTTATCCCCGAAGGGGTAGGCAGAGGTGTACATTACGACACTTAAACTGTAAAACACCGCGAGGTCACCGGTGAACGCAACCTATTGTTCTTTAATTGTGTCTATAATGACGGTACTCAAAGGGTTAATGCCACTGTACAATGTAACACCCACTTTTCACTATTTATGATACGATTCCCATGTAATAGGGGGTGAGCCTATTGGCATATACCGGGCAAAATTTCAGACACCTGAGTATTAGTACTATTAAGATTTAAAACAAAATCTAGTAATACTTTGTCCGACACGGGAATCGAATTCGAGATCCCTTGTATGGCAGTCGTACTTGAATGAGGCAGGCATTATGTGCATAATACATTCATATGAATCTGTAAATTAAAATGTGTCAGTTTTTGATAGGGACAATGTTGATCTAGCTACTATATAATAATGAATTATATTTCTACTATCAGATAAGAGAGGGCTGCTTTGGAACTGGAAAATACCAATATTTCTATATAGCTAATGAGCAATGAAATAATATTTAATTCTATTTTGCCCCCAGTTCCGTGGTTTCCAATTACTGGACGCGGCGCGCCTGTACAAGCAAGGCTTCCCTGAACACATGCCGCTGTCAGAGTTCGCTAGAAGGTAAGATTATAAATATAAACATTATATTTTTTATGGCATAAGCCGGTAAACGAGTAGACGGATCAACTGATGGTAAGCAATCGGCGTCGCCCAATGACACCTGAAACACCAGAGGCGTTACAAGTGCGTTACCGGTCTTTTGGACATTAAGAGTTTGAGGATCGTTGGGGATTCAGGAATTTACATTATTAATATAAAACCCTGTAATTAAATAAAGATTAAATAAAATATAGAAACATTGTATTTGATGATATGATTTGTACATATAAAGCAACATGTCTTATCTCTAATTTGACTTTGACTGCACGGTTGGCAGGTAACAGGCTGCCGCGCAACGTGTCGCAGGTTCGATTCCCGCACGGAACAACTCTTTGTGTGATCCACAGATTGTTGTTTCGTACACCCGTGTACCCGTGCACACTGGTGTACACCCGTGTGTACGTGAGAGTTGTGTGCCCATCGCGCAATTGTACACACGGGTGTACGAGAAACGCGCACCGATTGGATATTTTTTCTGTGACGTATATTTTCAAGTTTGCAACCCGTTCTTTATTTGATTGAACAGAATAGTTCATTTGCTTTCTATTAAACTATTTACCCGTGTGTACGAGAAACGCGCGAGAGGTTAAAAAATCTCTTAATAAATCCTCCTTCTACACAGATACCGTCTCCTGGCAACGTCAGACACGGAAGACTCGGACACAGTGCAGCAGCCAGCACTCTCCGACCGACAGATCGTGGACGACATGCTGCTGTCTCTGGACCTGGACGTGACCAGCTACAGGCTTGGATTGACTCAGGTATGTGGTAGTTCTGCTAAGCAATATTAAACACTAATTAAGTTGGAATTGAGGTAGTTCTTGATTGGTGTGACTTTGATAATTCGGTGTTAAAAGATTGTCGACTTTAAACATAAGTTTTTAGGTCGGTTTTCAATTTAACAACACTTGTAGCTCTTAAATAGATTATGTACGACATGCGCTGTGTTTGGACCTCGATGTGATTAGCTTGGATTTATTAAGGTATGGTATATTATTGAAATTACATTGTTCTCACATAATTGAACTCAACGAAAGAATGTAACCAAAAATTGTATTGTGAACATGATTGAAAAAGAGTAACCTATGGAGTTTCTTGCTCGTTCTTCTCCATAGGAATCTACACTTTGGAACGAGCAAATAGCTTCACTAAATGACTGATCTACAGATTGTCATTTTTTCTTACGTTCAGAAGTGCCTTCCTGGTCTAATTGAAATAAATGATTTTAACTTTGACTTTGACTTATGTTGGTAGGGTTATTTCAACCGCGATGGTTAAGGAATGAAGATTGTATTGAGTGAATGAGTTGACGATTTGATTCCTTCTTTTTACATGTTAACTATGGTAAAGATATTATCCTATATCAATAGAAAATAATTATTTTCAAACAGAAAAACCAGGGAATTTATTTATTTATTTATTAACTCTTTAATGCACACAAAAATAAGGTACATAAGGCGGACTTAATGCCATATGGCATTTTCTCCCAGTCAACCTTTGGGTTAAAGATGAATCAGCGAAAATAGGCTTGTGTAATATGCAAAAAAAAACAAAATAAATAACTTATAGTAATTATAAATACTGTATAACATACTGTATAAAATTATATAATACATACAAAATATGTACATAAATAACTATAAATATTATTATAATGTAATATCCGAGACCGAGAGGCCGGGGTCCCATACGGTGGTTTGACCAAATAATCAAAGAGCTGCAGATACCTATGAATGTTGCAATGCATCAAGCAACGGAACGAGATAAGTGGCGACATCTAGTGAGCAGAATCAGAGGGAGTCACGATCCTCAGCAGTGAGGAAATCGACTAAGAAGAAGATAATTATAATCTTTACTAATATTATAAATCGGAAAGTGAGTTTGTTTGTTTGTTTGTTCCGCTTTCACGCCGTTACTACTAAACCGATTGCTTTGAATTCTTGCAGACGTAAAGTTAGAAGTCCGGATTAAATAATAGGTCAGGATACTGAAAAATTTGATATTTCCGAGGGAAAATAAAAGTATTGGTATAGATGGCGCTGTGTGTATTGGTATATGTCACATAGGCTGCTTTTTATCCTTGTGACGCGAGCGTAGCCGCGGGTAAAAGCTAGTGTAATATAATTGACAAAGACAGAAACTCAGCGTTGTAGCGCCTTGGGACAAATTCGTGTTGGACGCTATTTATCGATAACACTTAGGGTCTTACATATTCAAAACCTACTTAGGTTCTTAGGTATACTTCCATGTTAGTTAGTACATTATTACATAGTAACTAGCGGACCCAACAGCCGTTGTCCTGCATATCCAATTGAATGTATAATAAAAATCATTCAAAAAATCATTCAAATTAGTTCAGCCGTTTAGGATAAATAACCTAAATATCGACTGCAGCGCCATCTGCCGGGCTGATTTGTCAATCTAAACCATTCCTAGATCTCCTTGAACACACACAAAAAATTTCATCAAAATCGCTCCAGTCGTTTGAGAGAAGTTCAGTGAAATACACAGTCACAGAAGAATTATATATATTTTAGATGTACTATCGGCTATACAAACCGGTTGACTGTCAAAAATGACACTTCAATTAGGCTTACATCTAGCTGCCATATAATGCTTGATTGCATAAACTAAATAGCTCGCAGTAACATACTTAGGTTACGTCATCAAAAAATAATCCTTAGGAACATTTACAGAGAAAGTAGTGTTTGAATTTAGAGTGATCCTGAAAAATGGACTTGTGTAGAATAGGTACTTAAAACTGGTCTACTTTTCTGACTGACGTCTAAAAAGATTTGAATCTAAATCCTTTGAATTAAAATCGATTTTTGACATTTTTTTCTCTTGAATTTCTATCAAAATAAATCAAATCAAGGATTTGGCATTGAGAATCAATCAGTTATTATTATGGACGTTAATTTAAACTAAGAAAGGTGCTGGAAGCTAAAAATATAACCTTACTTATGTCAGGATGTAACAGGTAGCATTTTGTGTAGTTCTTTTTTTTATTCAAGGTGTTAAAGTAAGCGTTTTTGTACGTAGGTACTGACTACTCATATATCACTTAAAATAGCCTTTAAACAATACGTCCTCATGATTGTGCAATCATAACCTCAAATATAAGTTTAGATAATAATAATTATGACGATTATAAAGCAAATACTTTTTCGTTTGTCTTAAATAAGGAAATAGTGAGGAAGTGGCATTGAATTGTATTTAGCTTTGGTATATCAAAGTCATTGTACGTTTCTTAAGTTTTATGAGCATGGAAGTGACATATGTATGTATGTGCTTCCGTCATAGTCATACGCAGATTTGTTTGCTTTCTATTGCTCAAGTCTTAGTAAAGGTTGGTGTTTAGTCTTTGACATTTTCTAGTAGTCAACTATAATTATGCAATACCCGTATTGATGAAAATTTTAAACCTAGTTCATTATTTGCATTGTTGAATTCTATACTTTTTTATTGCATATTGTTTTAGAGACTTTTTATTCAGGAACATATTAGGCCCGTTTTCTATACTTAAATACTTTTTCACGCCTTTTTAAATATGGGAGAGCCATGCTTCGGCAGGAACTATCACTCGGAGTGATAGTTCCTGCACGGCCTCACAGAAGTCGAACCCGTGACCCCTTGCTCGGCAGTCGCACTTGCGACTACTCGGCCAACGAGACAGCCGCACTGTTAGCACCATAAAAGGTAAATTATGTAGATTTGTAAGAAAGCGGTTTACTCAGGAGATTGTTGTACTGATCTTTAACCCACACAATCTACGAAGAAATGGCGGCGTTTATAGCAACAATAAAATTTATAGCTGATGAATTTTATAATGGGTAATAATCATTATAAAATTGAACGCAGTATTAGATGGTTCGTGGAAACGATGTGCGAGATAGAAAATATATTTAGGTTGCGTTTGGTCGAGTGGTTTAGGCGCAATCATTTGACTTTACATGGCGCACTAATAATATAATTGGTGATGTGTGAAATATCCCTTTAGAAAATGAGGATAACATTTACCTACATACATATGTATAGCAGCAATTAAATAGCCAAGTAGTATAACAATCAATAATGTTGTGAAGGCTAGGGCAAGGGTCTGTGTTTATAAGGCTATTGGGCGTAACATAACATGTCTGGGTTAATGGAAATGGGAAAAATAATTTCTCTTTCTACTTTTTTTGTCTAAACGTAGTTAACAATGGTGATAAAGGTACGTAGTTAACCAAGTCGCCTTAACTAAGCATGGTGATTAATGCCTTTACCTATACCTTTTCGGTGTAAGAAGACGCCTTTAAGGCCCAATTGGTTACATTTTATATTTAATTCTATACATACAAGTATGAGCAATAAACATTAAAAAGAGTATTAAATCAACAGTATCATAATACGAAATTGCTCATAAATTAAAGTAGGTACTACTGTTTGTTCATGTTATATATTACATTTAGCCGGAAAACTTAAAAAAAACTGATTAACAGTTAATCAAAATTTAACTATAGATAAATACGATTACTTTATTTACGAGTAATTGCTTCATTTTAATTATACAAGCTTGACTTTCTATAATAAATATTTAAAGGGCTTATGCGAGTTATTTTCAACGAAACGTCACTGTCCTCCTCTATGATTGGTTAATTAGCTTGGTGGTAACCAATCAGAGCGTTGTACGTCATAAACGTTTCAATCGTCTTTACGTAAAATAAATTCAAACTGGGAACTCTGATTTGAGATTACACGGGTTTATTAGGTTGTAAACTGTAAAGAAACGATGTTTCGATAGTTTGATTTTTTCTGTAATTATATTATTAACATTGAAACAGCGTTCGAAACTACAATATTATCATGCGTTTTGTAAAACCGTAGTAACTGGTAAGCGTTTGTTGACGCAAGTATATTTAATTTTGTTCAGCGCAGGGTGGCTATCTTTTGTTTTAGTAATCCTGGCCGGTTTAACGTGACGTATGCTCATTGTGTTTTATTGGAATTCTTTCGTTCGAAATATAATTTTCGCATTGTTTTTTTTTAAATATTTGATAGATTGCTTCTATACTAGATTTTTACTATTATTATGTTTTAGGAAACATTTTATTACCTATTTGAAAATATCGTGGCAATTTCTAAATTAAAAATAATATTAAGGTACCGATATCGGAAAGAGTTTTTAATGACACAATGTTATCGAATATCATATTTTTTTAAGAGGCAAATCAACATTTTTTACGGCCCACATAACACCTTCTTATTATTTACATAACATTTTTCAATTAGGTACTACATTTCTACTTACACCGGCCAAGAAGACATTTTGTAACAAATGACTCACTAATAATATCGTTACCGTTACTTAAAAACTATCTCATCATAACAAAAACAAAGCAAGGCGTCACGCCATTACATGCTCATAAATATTAAGGCGTTACATAATGATATACTGTTATGTATTACAGACTAGATAACTGCCTGCGGCTTCGCCCGCGTAGAATTTCCGAAATTCTTATTAAGTTAGTTCTTGTCAAAGTTACAGCCATGTTAGGCAGGTTCAGGCTCCCGCCTGGGTGAGGCGGAAGGGAGTGTCAGACTCTTACTGACTAAAAATCACCCCGTTCCTTCTCCTGCACGTCGAGCCGGAGCCCCGGTTACCCGTTAGGTTCTCCGCGACGAGCACAATGAGGCTAAGGCTCACATAACATCATCTTCGCCACAAGCCGCCTATTGTTACAACCTTTATCAGACCTATAATACTTTGCGACGGACGCGCCGGACTTCAGTGTTCCGGTGTTTTCATGGTTGTATCTACTGTAGATCCTGGTTTACAGGAGTTGCAGCGGTTTTAGAAGGTTGTGGCAGGCTTGTCCCAATAAAGAAGACCTCTAATACTAGTTAAAATCTTAAAAAAACGGCCCAGTAGTTTCAAAGCTTATTCGATACAAACAAACATACTCTTTCCTCTCTTGAATATTAGTATAGATATATTATCTTGTACAAAGTTGTGGAAAGAAGACTCATTACCCGTAATGGGTGCTTCACTGTCAGTTGTAAAATGTGAGCCTTTGTCAGTAGTCTGTATCACATGTATGTATATTATTACACGTTAACTAAAAATCGAGTTACTCACGTGAATATACTGAGAAAAGCTCTACTAGTTTCGAACCACATAAGGGTTCTTCCAGAACCAGAACCTGGTTAAGAGAAAAACTGTTGAGGAAAGTAAGAACGATTGCAGAAACACCTGTACTTGGTCCTCAAATTATGCGCGTTATTGTATTTCAATTTTAACATAACATAACATAACATGACATAACATCACGCCTTTTATCCTCGAAGGGGTAGCCACAGGTGCACATTACGGCACTTAATGTCACTGTACAGTGTAACACCCACTTTTCACTATTTATGTTATGAGTCCCATGTAATAGGATGTGAATCTATTGCCATATACCGGGCACAATTCCAGACTCCGTGCTACGACTGAGAAGTAATACTTTGCCCGACTTGGGAATCTAACCCAAGACGGGCAAAGCCAACGAGGCAGTCTGTACATAGTACCTCTAAATACTTGTTACTCAATCAGCTTCTTCAGTGTACAGTATCTACGATCGATGTCAAACCGACTTCCCAGTGCAACGCAATGGGTTGTGAATCGCTATAACTTGCGTAATCGCTTTCACTAGCCGGCGCCCGCGCACCGCTCTGTACTATCAAACAAATTGTAACATTTATTTTGTTATGTTGAATAAATAGAGTAATAATTGTATGTTTTAGAATGTAGGATAATGAATTGTACTTTAATTAGTAAGATGTTTGTTTTTAGATTGGTTTGTGAGACTCTTTCTTCAAAAAGTGTTCATTGTGGGTCAGGAAAATTCGTTGTTTTTGATTGAGAAATTTTCCATAATGCCAAGTGTATTTGTGTTCAAGGTATCATGTGTTTATGATAATGAGTCTTTGTTATTTGTCTCTTGCTTCCTAGAAAACCTATATTTTGGAACTATAGATATATAAAAAAGTTGCTTTGATCTCCAAGTAATTTTACAGGTTTTAAAAGTGCACCATTTTTAATAGGACGCCACGTGTCGCGGGTCGATTGCCGCACGGAGCAACTCTTAGTGTGATCCACGGATAGTTGTTCCGAATCTGGGTGTGATGTGTATGTGTGAACTTTTTTGTTTGTGAAGGCACCCACAACACAGGAGAAGATCCTTGTGTGGGGTAACTCCTTGGTAACAAAAAAAGGACAATATATATTTCTTTATAGGTCCCCAAAAAGATAATGGTGTGCCTGTCTGACTGAATTTCAAACTCAATAATATTAATGAATTCATAATCTAATCTAAATAGCAACCCAATAAGATTGTTCCCGGTATGGGATTAATCCCTTCATTCATCTTCATCATCACTCCGAGAGTCCAACTGGCAACAATTGCACATCCTTAATTAAATTAAAATTCGAAACTAATTATTTCACCGTCGCACCAAAAGTCACGCTAAATAATTAAACATTAGACCACACCAACCGTTAAAAAAAACATTAGCAACTCATTCCATTTTTAAAATCTCACACATATTATGCAACGCAACGTAACCGTTTTCGTTACGTCACTGTCACACTTCCGAGCATGTTCCGTTGGCTGTATGCGCCGATGCCTTTGCCTCGGCCTTCTTTCACTAGGTTTTGTTCATTCAGTGTCATGTACAACGATGTTGGCCTACTTGTTTATTTTTTTTCTGTTACATCATTGGTTGCGATTTCACTGGCCATTTATATGTCGTTCGAAGTTTGAATGGCTTTATTTAGATTGTTTGGTTTTAGAATGCAGTTTTGATGGGTTTGTTTTTTTTTTCTTTTTTGACTGATATGGTTTTCCTGTTGCGTTTAGTTTGTTGTCGAGTTCTGTTTTTGGGCAATGAAAGTGTACTAGGATGGTATATTCTTGTGTTTTAGTAGCAATATGTGTGTTATTTATTTAAAATAAGTGGTTAAGAATTGTAAATTGAAAGGAATATTTTTAATGAATGTAGTTAAAATTTTTGTTTGAGATTGGAGAATTAGAGAATTTTTCAAGGACTTCGTTATAGTGGAACTGAAGAGTTTTCGGGCAAAAAAAATGTTAAAAAGTGCTTTAAATTACAGAATATTAATGAAAGCATTGTTGTTACTACTCGGTAGGTATAAATCTTTTTTCTGTTTTCCTTAGGAAAAATCCAAAGGGTTGAAGGAAAACGTGGTACCATTAACGTTTAACACGTAATTGTAAAGGTAGGTGTACACCGACTTTCTTGTGCAAATTAACTTCCGCTAGCCAACACCGGGGCTATTTCCTCAGTACAAATTGCTCGTGTTCTCTATTTATGTAAAGTAAAACTTTTCTAGTGAAAACTATGCCTTAAAGTTGCATTTTTATTGTTAGGAGTTTCTTGTGTGTTTATGGTTTATAAGAGTTTGAGGCATTGGCAAAACACAATTTTTTAGAGATCTAGAATTATTCATCTACACGTGTGGACGTGTGGACGGCCCGAAGGACTGATGTCAATACGGAGCCGCGAAGAACGAAAAAGGTTACAGGGGCTCCGGCTCGAAGTGCAAGAGTTAGAACGGGGTGGTTTTTAATCAGTAAGAGTCTGACACTCCCTCTCGCCTCACCCAGGCGGGAGAAGCCAATCGATGATTTTCCCGCTTAAAAAAAATAGACGTGGGCGTGTGTGTCCGTGTGAATTTATGTTTGAAAACGCACCAACGATAGATGAGACAATACTAGAGTTTTAAAAAAAAAATATTGCAATCACCTTCGATCGCTATGCCACACTATTGCTGAGCCCAAGCTCCTACATGTCATTTTTTTCTCACTGAGAAAGTGAAGCCTGAGAAGCATTTACTTTACTTACTACATAACATAATAAATACTTACGTACCTACATAACATAACATCACGCCTTTTATCTCCTATCGGGTAGGCAGCGGTGCACATTACGGCACTTAATGCCACTGTACAATGTAACACCCACTTTTCACTGTTTATGTTATGATTCCCATGTAATAGGGGGTGAGTCTGTTGCTGAGGCAATCTACTTACTACAGTTTAGAAATAAGTTCGTCCTCCATTACAACGTCCCACTAACATTTAAACAAACAGACAATCTCGCTGCTCTATTATTTTGCATCACGCAAGTGAATTAACAGAATTAACTAAAACAATCATTGTAGGCAAATTATTACTTCTATCAAGGGAAAATGGTACTTATGTCCGTGATACTTATTAGAGAAAGTACCCAAGTTCGTGTAATCTACTCAAATTGCAAAATTACCTGGCAACAGCTGCAAGATTCTAGTCAGTGGATAACTCCACTTCAAATAACTTTGATGGTTTATTACAGGTCGTACCTACCGATGTGATGTTAGGAATTTCATGTAGAAATATGTTCCGACTTCCTAAGTAACTCAGTGGTCTGCTATCAGAGAGGTCTATGTACAGTATTTGATATAGGTAGACTGGTGACAATTTGCCATACCTATTATTGGAAGCGAGTATGACAGCTCACACATTGGACCCAATTAGTTTTTAGTCAAATTTCCGTGGTGTTCGGCGACTGGGCTTCACCCGGTTGTACAGTCTCTTTTTATACCTATAGGCTTAATTCATTCTGTCTCCTGCAGTAATTCACCGAGGGAAGTGGAAACTATAGCAAATGGCTGTCGCGCAACGTGTCGCGGGTTCGATTCCCGCACGGGACCGCTCTCTCTTTTTGTGATCCACAGATTGTCGTTTCGGGTCTGGGTGTCATAATGTGTAGGTATGTGAAATTGTATGTTTGTAAACGCACCCATGGTACAGGAGAAAATTCGAGTATGGGGGCAATAAAATATTAAAAAATAATCACACTTCCATTAATTGATATAACGACCAACTTAATTTTAGTATTTTTCCAGCAAATTATTAAGAAATAAGTATGCTGTTTGGCGCTAAAAAAACGTGACGTCACAATATACAATCTTGTACAAAATTCTAAGAAAACTGTCGTTTTTGACAGTTCGAAAAAAGTATTGAATATGACTAGTTGGCAAGTACCCAATTGTGTGCACACACAAGACCTAATAAATATATACTTACATAGTTAGTTAGGTAGTATTTGCCATAAACATGACCACATAAGTCATAAATCAAATATTCAATTATTTTATAGATTTTTGCGGTTTTCGAAAACTACAATAATCGAAAGCTCGTCTATAGCGGCCCTTTATTACTTTACAGTCTATACTTTCCATATTATCATAATAATATTATTTTGTAGCTCCAATAAAAAGTAAAGTTTATTGTGTTTTCTTAATTTTAAATTAAAATAGTGAAAATCTACCATCAAGAGCCACTTCTTGGAAAACCATAACCCAACACCGATATAAAAAAAACGATAAAATTCGCTATTACTAGAAATGATACGTTTGAAGCGTTTTATGAGGTATTTTATTCCGCCCACAGTTTTGCCCGCCTTCAACTTAGTATATTTACCTAAAATAGATGGGGATCCTGTAAAAATATCGAGATAAAAAGTACCCTATGTTACTCACGGAAAAACAAGGTTTCTATAGGTGAAAGAATTTTCCAAATCGGTCCAGTAATTTAAGAGATTATTCAATGCAAACAAACAATCAATTTTTTCTTCTTTGTCATTAGTATAGTTATAATTTTATTACTTCATATAGTATAATAAACTATAAAACTATACTGTATTTATGACATGAGTGGTAAGTAAATCTCAATGGCTTCGTTTTTTAGTGAAAGTGTTATAAAAATTCATGTTTGTTTGTCTGTTGTGTGGAGAAAATTGTTGATACCAAACTGCAGTCGGTTTTCACTAGTTATTTGTTGTTAGTTATGTCATCGGTACTATTTTTGTATAATCTATGTAGTATTATTATGTAGCGGTAAGTCGGACGTGATAAAAATAGATTGGTGTTGCTATTCTTCACATTAAAATACATTCACAGATAATTAAGTTAGATTATATTTTTTAATAGATGTAGTTTTCCATATTAATATTTTAATGTATCATGGGTGCGTTTAAAAATACATAATTGAATTCGAAAAATACATAATTGAGGCAAGAAAAATAAATTTCCGTTGATTGTTTATTGCAAATAGTGATGTTTTCTTATGGTTACTTTTCTAGTAAACTAAAGAAGAACTAATCTATGTATTATTATATTATGTAGAATATTGTTTTAATCAGCGTCGGACGAGCTGTGTGAACCGTAGTGTTAATATCATCGTACACCTAACAAGCACGGCTCCGCCAAGTCGGCCAATACGGAGCCGCGGAGAACTTAACGGGTTACCGGGGCTTCGACTCGACGTGCAGGAGAAGGAACGGGGTGGTGTTTAGTCATTAAGAGTCTGACACTCCCTCCCGCCTCACCTAGGTGGAAGAAGTCATTCCATGATTTTCCCACCATAAAAAAACACCTAACAAGCATGGCTCAGGCACGGCTCCAACTGCAATGTCATTGTTATTTAAATATGAACTTCAAATCGTATGTCGTATGCCATATTTTATAACGTCAATATAGAAAAGCTGTAATAAGCACCCGCCCGCGCGCCGAATCGGACGGCGCGCTTACAACGTTTTTGTATTTATTCAAAAGTTAAAAAAGCCGTACCGGAGCCGTCGAGCCGTGTCGGGTCGAATCTTCCAGCGGGTGCCGTGAAAACTAATACATCGACTTCAGACTAGGTGACAGAATCAGGGTTGTCCCTCTTATAAGAAGCTATTAATCTAGCAGAAGAGTGTCAACGGCTTGCAGCTGTTGATATCTCTGTGACAGAATGAATCGCACATAAATAACAGCTGATGAAACCCTTTGGTTTAGGATTGCATATTGTTTACCTAATCGGTAATCAATACCTAAATTTATCGACTGTGTGACTTTTTCTACTTTCTTAATCTGTGAAACGAAATCGACAAAATGTCATTGGTCAAACGAATTGATATTCTAATTTCAATTTTGAATCGAATTATAGCAGTGGATATCCAATAACATTGAGTTTAAATCGATTAATAAATACGACATTTTCTTTTAAAGGTTACGTCAGACCTTCGCTTGACTCTTTGCCCGTACTCGTTTTACCCTAAAGGGGAAATAAATTTCAAGCAACGTTTCATAGGCATTTTGATATGTCTAGCTAAGGGAATATGAAGGGGGGAACTGCCAGACTTTTACTCATTAAAAACCATCTCGATATATCATCTCTTTCGAGGGTAAAGTGAACCGCATTATTTTACAGACCTTGCTGGTAAAAA